GTCAGAGAAAGATAAATATCACATGATCTCACTCATATGTGGGATATAATGATCAACATAATTTGATGAACAAAAAATAGATCCAGAGACAAGGTAGCACTGAACAGATCGTCCAACCTCATAGAGAAGGTAGGGGAGAGGAAGGGTTAGAGATCAACCAAAGGACTTGTATGCATGTATATTAGCATAACCAATGGACACAGACACTGGGGCGGTGGGGGCATGCCCTCATGGGTGGGAGTAGGGGGGGGTCAATTGGGGGTAAAGGAGATATATGCAATACTTTAAACAATAAAAAAAAGAAAAAAAATACTCTGGTAGGAGCAATTTTCTGTGTGGACCCAAGTTTGTCAAAACTTACTTTCTTTAAGTAATTATCCTTTTGTTTCTAAATATGAAAATAGGTTTCTCCTTTCCCTGCCACACTGGAACCCTGCCCTGTTTGATGAAAACAAGTAACTTCCTGTTCATCTGACCAGAATTTGACATTAATGTGCTGTTCTTCATCACCCATTGTTATTTTTTAAGAAAAAAAAATGGATCTATTTTCATTACAGAACATTACTTATCATGGGGCTTAAAGACAAAAATTTCACTCTCTCTCTCTCTAACAGCTCTGTCGTTATAGAAGAGAATCTCATTTCCATTTTGCAGAGAATAAACTAAGCCTAGCCCTGGTTGGATGGCTCCGTTGGTTGGAGCATCATTCTGTACACCAAAAGGTTGCAGGTTCGAATCCCAGTCAGGGCACATACCTAAGTTGTGTGTTTGATCCCCGGTTGGGGTGCTCAAAGGAGGAAACCAATTAATGTTTCTCTCTCACATCAATATCTCTCTCTCCCTCTCTCCCTCTTTCTTTCTCCCTCTCCCTCCCCCTCTCCCTCTCTTTAAAATCAATAGAAAACATGTCCTAGAGTGAGGATTAAAAATAAATAAATAAATAAACAAACAAACAAACTGAAAACAGATTTGACTGCTCAATACCATACAGAAAACCCATGACCAAAGCAAGGTCAGCTTCATCGGCTCAGAGTTCCCATCTGTTTCTCAGCCCTGTGTCTGAAGTTCCCAAGGTGTACTGTGGCATACCCTTCCTGCAGGGAACCTGAGCACTTCATTGGTTTGAGGGAGGTGTGGGGAGGTTTATATCTCTAGGTATAAGGGAAAGATAAGAGATTGTGGCAGAGGACCCAGCCGCCAGAGTGGGAGTGGGATAAGGGGGAAGAGCATGGAGCTCACTGGGCTCCATGACAGGGACCCTGGGGTTCCTTTATGGACTCAGTGTGACCCAGGGTGAGTCACCCTCTCCTCAGGCGTGTTTTCCTAATTATAAACCAGAAATTCACTCACTCGTTCAACCAACAAACATTTGTCTAGTGCTGACTACATAGCAGGTGCTCTGCTAGACAAGCCAGAAAACGGCTACAGTCCTGGCTCCACATGGATTTTGAAAGTCTAGTGAAGGGAGGACAGATTTAAACAACATATATAACCATGTAATTGCAACTTCTATAAAGAACAGTGACAAGCACGTTCCAGCGGCTACTAGAGGGTGTTAGAAGGAAAGCTAACTAATCTGAGGGTCAGGTAGGACTTCCCTGGGGAAGTGACCTAAGCAAGTTGAGCTATAAAGAAAAGAAAGACTAGCGTTGGAATGAGATAGGGAGAAGGGAGAGAGGGAAGTACTCCAGGCAGCGGAACAGCATGAGCAAACTCCCTGAGGCAGGGAAACATGACTTGTCCAGGGAGCAGAAAAGAGGCCCATGTGACTGACCAGAATTCAGTGGCTCAGGAAGAGACTGGCATAAGATGAGGCTATCAAAGTGGTGGCCACCATGTTATAAAGGATAACAAACAGCATCCACTCTGTGGTGACGGTGCGACAATCACACAGCTATGAAAAGGCTTAAAAAGCAGCACCTACCACACCAACATCTGGTATCACCATCATTGTCCAAGTGGCCTCCTGGACAATGCCTTTGGCCTGCCCTCCAAGCAGGAAGCCCAGGAATTAAGTCACCAGTGACCTTCTCCCACTGCCTCCTTGTCAGAGAATTCCCTTCCAATCACAGGGGTCAGGATACTGCGAATTACCAAAGCCTCCCAAAGAACTCAAAACCAGTCTAGTCAATTCTTCTCTGGCTTCTCTGCTGGTTTACCCAGGAATTCATCAGCTGACAGCACTGAGGAGTCTCTGGGCCAACCTTAGCCATCTGACTGAGGAGCATCGTCCGCTGGACATGACCTCTGGCCTGAGCTAGGCGACGCTGGTGCAGGCCAGAGCAAGCCTCCTAGCCTCCCTGCATCTTAGCTTTTGAACGGAAAGTGGGAATATGAGCGAAAGCCAAGCAAGACAAGGACTAGTAAAATGCTCTGCAGCCTTCAGTAAAAAGATGTAGTTATTCCGACTGTTCTTACTGTTCATACAGCCATCTTGGAAACTTTCTGAGCCTTCAAGTCATTTAATCATTGTAAATTCTAAGTGCCTCGAATTTAAAGGTCATTGCCTCTAGCACCTAAGCACAATTCTGACTCCTCTCATTTTTTATTATGAAGATATTTATTATCTGTGACATGGATTCTAGGTTGGAAAGTGAAAGACTGGTGAAGACAGCTGAGCTAGCCTCCAGAAGTGCTACGCGGCCTCAATGTCCAGCAGTAAACTGACTTCTCCCCAGGCTCCATCCCTCCCTCTTCCCATCAGCTTCCTTCCCTGTGTCTCTAGAACCTCCTGTGTGTGAGCCAGGCCTCAGATGTGACAGCACCCGCCCTGTGTGTTTGCATTTCCTGCACCAAGACCCTGATACCAGAAGCCACTCTCCATAACTCGGGAGGAGGCAAGAGTTCCTAACAAACAAAGGCCATATTCAGGGTGAGGGAGGAAGAGGGGTATCCTGTATTGGGAGTGAAGGGCAGCGGTATCCAACTAGAGATGCAGCTGATCTCCCCGTCCAAGGACATTATCTGGGAAATGAACCCATTTCAAAATAACTTTCTCCCTGTTACTCTAAACCAGTGGTTCTCAACCTTCCTAATGCCGCGACCCTTTAATACAGTTCCTCATGTTGTGGTGACCCCCAATTTCATTGTTACAAATTGAACATAATTAAAGCATAATGATTAATCACAAAAACAATCTGTAATTATATATGTGTTTTCCGATGGTCTTAGGTGACCCCTGTGAAAGGGTCGTTCGACCCCCAAAGGGGTCGCGACCCACAGGTTGAGAACCACTGCTCTAAACAGTCTTTACAGTGATGATCACAATGATATGTGGTTGTGTTTTTTAGAGAAGAAATTCTTAAAGATTCCATTATCAGCCCTGGCCAGTGTGGCTCAGCAGATAGAATATTAGCTCACAGACCGCAGTTTCTCAGGTTCGATTCCCAGTCAAGGACATATACCTGGGTTGCAGGTTCGATCCCCAGGCGGGGGGCACACAAGGGAGACAACTAATCGATCTCTCCCCCTCCCCCCCCCACCCTTCAACTCTCTAAAAATCAATGAAAAAAGTATCTTCGGGTGAGGATTAACAAAAAAATTAAAAAGTAAATATTCCATTATCTCTGGTGTGGAACACTGTAGAAATCTCCTGACTTCCCTCCTTCCAATGTTGGCCCTATAGGCAGTCTCCCCTCCATGTGGGGGCCAGAGGGATCTTAATGAAACACAAATTCATCGCCCTGATTGAAATCCTCCATATGACTTCCTTTTTCATTTCTCATGAAATCAAGAGCCTCTTCTCCTATGTCCTGGGAGGCTAGAGTGGTCCGGCCCACTCACCCCTCCAATGCCATCCGAGGCCTTTGTCTCCCTGGCACTGTGCTCCCGCCACACAGGCCCTCTGTTCTTTCAACACCGGCTGAGATCTACCTGTGCCTTCACTCAAACTGTTCCTCTGCCCAGAAAGCTCTTGCCTAAAACCCTCATTTTGCTGGCTCCTTCCCATCCCTTAGGACTGAGGTTAAATGCCCATCTCCCTTATGACACTCCCTAAAATGTTTGTTCTCTTACAACTGCATCTTCATATTCTGTTCTTTTCATAGCATTGGTCCTGAAATGCAACTATTCTATTGGTTTACTTGCTTTCTGTCTGCATGTCACACCAGAATATAAGGTCTCTCATGGTGGTTTATCTCTTTCCCTGGAACCTAGCACAGTGCCTGCTCAGAGGAGGCACTCAATAAACTTTGGTTGAATGAATGAATGAATGAATGAATGAATGAAAAATACTAACAAAACTGTCCCTAAGCCGATAAAAACATGTACATTTACTTGGCTTATGGTCCTGGTTTCAGCTTCTAGCACAGTAGATGGTAGCCCAATGCTCTGTACACAGTCGGCATTTGGTTTACATTAGGGATGATGGTGATGATGATGAGTCCATGGTAACATCCCATAGGTTAGCCCAGTGCTGCCTGAGAACTCAAACCCACCGCCAGCTGTAAAGGGCAAGGGCCACAGACACTAGCAGCGGTTCTCAACCTGTGGGTCGCGACCAGTGAAAATACATCCTGCATATCAGATATTTACATTACGATTTATAACAGTAGCAAAATTACAGGTATGAAGTAGCAACAAAAATAATTTTATGGTTGGGGGTCACCACAACATGAGGAACTGTATTAAAGGGTCGCGGCATTAGGAAGGTTGAGAAACAAAAATATTTTATGGTTGGGGGTCACCACAACATGAGGAACTGTATTAAAGGGTCGCGGCATTAGGAAGGTTGAGAACCACTGCCCTAGAGCATCAAGGCTTCTGGGCAATGGTTCTGCCCCACTCACTGATTCAGGCACATTACACCAAATGAGCAAAAAATACTCGAATGGGCAATACAGATGTGACAGATGTTGACTTCAAAGATCTGAAAGTCCAAAAATGGAGGGTAATACATGAATAGCAAAAAACAAACAAACAAAAAGAAAAAAACAAACCAGTACTAGATACCCTAAATGCCAGAGGCAAGAAGAGACTGTCCAGCTGTGGGGAGATGACGAAAGGCTTCGTGGGGAAGGTGGCATTGGAGCCGAGCCTAAACGATGGGTGGGACTGGTGCACGTGGAGAAGGAAGAAAGGCACAGCGGATAAAGGACACAGCATGACCCCAGGCACAGAGGGAAGAAGGCCGAAGAACAGAGGGAGGACAAGCGTAGTGGGAAATAAGCCTGCAATCCAGGTTTGGAGCAGAGAGAAGAGGCCCCGGAAGGACACACTCGTCCTTCTGGATTTATTTTGTAGGAAACAAAAGTGTTTTCACTATTTTTCAGCAACGGGTGGCACAAGAGGAACTGTTTCGGGATGAAAGATCGGCTAAGAAAGCAGGCCGTGCTGGAGAGGGAAAGGACTGGGGATGGGACTCGGAGGGATCTGTCCACTCAGGCGCCACTCATTAAATATTTAGTGTGTGCCCGGCACTGTCTGGGTGTTGAGATATATTATGAGAAAGACAGACAAAGACTCCTGCTCTTGAGGAGTTGACATTCTTTTGGAGGAAAACAGAAAACAAACAAAGCACTAGACAGTCGTAAGAGCTGTGGGGGGAAGGAAAAGAAGAGCAGAATAGGAGAATGCGGGGAGTGCTGGGGAGGGGCGCAGGGCACAGGACGTGGTATTCCATACAGGGGTCAGGGGTCAGTGATCAGGCTACATGCACCTCAGAAAAAAGGGGAGATGGAAGCAAACACTTGAGGAAGGTGAGGGAGAGAGACAACAGCTGGGGAAAGGACTCTCCAGCAGAGGAAACACCAGAGCGAAGCCAGAGGTAGGGTGTGCCCAGGGTGCTCCTTAGCAGCACAAAGAGGCCAGGCGCCTGGAGCAGAGTGAGAAAGGGAATGGGGAAGAGAGAGGTAGAGGACCTTGATGCTCTGGGAGAACAGGAGCCCTTGAAGGGCCTGGAGCACAGGAATGACAGGATCCGACTTACATGTTAAAATCAGCAGGGGGACCATTTAGAAAGGAGTCATAGCAGGTCAGATAGGAGATGGGAGCCCAGGGGAGTAGCAGTGGATGTGGCGGGAAGGGGCTATGCCCTGGGTCTATGTTGCGGGCACAGTCACGGGATTCCTGATGAATTGGAGGTTGCCTGGAGGGTGACTCCTACACTGGCCTTGAGGGAAACGTGGGAGGTGCTGAGGAAGAACTGAGGGAACTATAGCTGGGGAAGGAGTGTGAGGCGGGGCCGGGTGAGGCAGGGACTCACTTGGCACCAGCCAATGCAGACAACACTGAATTTTTG